GTCTTCCAACGCCCACCCCCGCCCTCAGCCAAGCGCGCCCGGTCCCTGTTTGTAATCCGTCCCCGCGAGCTCCTTTTCCCGCCCTTCCACTCCCCCTCGCAAGTTGGCCCGAGGCGAGACGGGGAGCCGCGGCGAGGAAACGCTGGGCGGCAAGAGGAGCGATCGCCCGGAGGAGAAAGAGAGCGCTGGATGCAAATCAGTCAAGCGGGTCATGGCGCCTTGGCGGAAAAAAAACGCAGCTCGCCGGACGCGCCGCGCCTCGCTTTCTGCCTTCCCACCGCCGCGTGGCCGCCCGCTTCCAAGGACGAGCGCGTGGCTCCCGCCGAGGCGAAAGAGGCGAGCCAATAGCTCGATCCCGACCGTTGCATCGAGGGAGGCTCCTCGCCTTCACTTCTCTCTTGCGGGGAGGGGAAACCCGGCCGGAAGGTTTCCGGAATCTGCGGGAGGGGGCATCTCAGCTCCCCCGGCTCAGCTGTATCCTCCCCCCCCTTCTTCCCTGTCTGATGCAAATATATATATATTTAAAAAAAATGGTACTGGGGGGGGGAGGGTCTGCCGTGCCACGGTGACGGGGACTGAGCGGGAGAGGGAGGCAAATGCTGGATCCGGTCAGCTTCTTATCCCGGTCTCTAGCCGAGCAGCAGCGAAATGGCTTTCAGGGCTGGGGAGCGGGGGGGAGCTTTTCCCGACGGTTGCAAAAACTGGGCTGGAGACGGGAAGCGGAGGAAGCCAAGAGAGAGAGAGAGAACTTCTCAGCTGCTGGACCATCTGCTGGGATCTAGTTGCGGGTTCCCGTCCCACCTGCGCTTCGTTTGGAGTAAGTCTCGCCTAACTTAAATAAGATCCATTTGAGAGGTGGCGGCGGAAATCGGGGCGTCCTGGGAAAAAGGAGGTTGAGCGGAGGCACTCTTGTTATGTTCAGGTCAAGCGGGATGGGAGGGGGGGAGAGATGGGAAGGGATCCCCAGGAGGAGGAGGAGGAGGGGGGGACATGACTTTTACACCTGGCAACCAAAACAGCTTGAGAAGGTTCATTCACATGATGGCAGGCAGTAAGGACCCTCCCACATGGAGAGAGAGAGAGACACACACACACACACACACAAAGTGGGACCTTCTCTGCATTGCACTTGGATCATTGAGTTTCTTCCAAGGAGTGAACAGCAGAGGAAGTGGTCTTCTACATAGACCTAGGTCAGTATATCTACACTAAATATCAGTGGGCTCAGAGAGGGATTCCCCCACCTCTCCCTAGAGATGTCAAGGATTGAAATGACTGTGTGCCACACCTTTATGGCTGACTTTCAGCACACTTTGGATGCAGCGTGTAAGGGTTGTGGATGATGTCCTTGTTCCATAGACTGATCTGCTTTTCCTCCTGGAGCTCCAGATAGCACTTTCTTATCCACTTTTTTCCCCACAACAACGGCCCCAGGAGGCAGGTTGGGTTGAAAGATAGTGGTTGACAGCCACTGAGATTCCAGGAAGATAGAACAAGATAGTCTTGTTTACGACCTAAAGCAAACTTAGACAGGATGCTTTCTTTCAGCTTGCCCAGTGTTCGGTCTAATCTTCTTTGGCATGGTCCATCCCATGAGGATTTTCTCCAGGAGCTATTCCTTCCAACCAGAAGTATAAAACAGTATCTACAGGTCTGAATAGGAATTGTTCTGTTGTAAGCTCAGTATTTGCCCCTTAGGCATACTTTTGTGTCACGCCTGTGAATATATGCTAGTACTTACGCACTAAAGTGAAAGTGTTTATATGCAGTCTTTTGCAGGTAGCCCATTAGGGATGGTCCGTTGCTAGAAGCATCAGGCAAGTGTCAAAACGATCAATTTCAATGGTATGCTTGAAGAGAAAGTGAGAAGCACAGTTCCTGTGACAGATCTGGATTAGACTAAATATACTAAAAAAAATAATACAAGGTTTTGGTTTACAGTATCCCGCGCCCCCATATAGTTTATTGAAGCTGGGGTTTTTTAGCTGAATTTGAAAAGAAGATTAGCGGTAGGTTATCTTCAGCAATGATTGTCAATATGAGAATAATATGGAAATGAAAAGCTTTTTTTATTCCAATGATATTATTGGTGTTTCACTGGATGTATCAAGACCTATACCCCAAAAAAGTGCATGGAAACAAGAAAGGAAATAGGCAGAGCCAACAGAGCGAAAACATACCATCTGATTTAATTGAGATGTGGTTTTAAGTAGGATACAGAGAATTGTAATTATTTTCCATTCTTCTGTTGTGTCAGAAACTAGAATTTTATGGCAACTTTTGTGCATTACAGGTATGATGGCTAAGACTCTTTCAGCCAAGCCTTGTGTCTCTTCAGGACAGTGGTTCTGCACCTGAATTCTTAGTAGAACATTGCAGTTGCTTAGTTCATTTGCATTTGAAAGTAGCTAAGATCTCTTGAGGACTGGATTCTGATCTCTGTTTTAATTCATGTGTTGCCTTGAGAGAAGATCCTGAGCTTGAAAACTGGTGCTTTGAAAAGCTTTGGGGACTGAATTAGCTAGTTGCTTATCCCAAATAAAATGCTATTTTCTGTTGTGTGACTATGCAACAAGGACATCCCAGATGATGAGTGAGGAATGAAGGAGATATTTCTCCACATATTCTTCTCTACTTCTACCTTAATAGTCCTATATAGGATTATTCCCATATAGTTCCTTTAAAAAAAAAAGTAAAATGTCTGAATTGGATCTCCTTGGAAGAGACTTGGGAGGGGGGAAGAGTTACAAAATATATCATCAATGTAAGCATGTCCTTTAGGATCCTAAAATGTTTAAAACAGTTTGCAGACTAGTTTCTTTACTGAAGTTACTATTAGAAATATAGTAACCATGTCTACTGGGATTTTTCAATTTTAATCTTTCCTTTTTTTAAAAAAAAAGGCAATGTGTTTCACAGTCCAGATTATTCACCTGATTTTCTGTTGCTGGAGCTTTAAAACTACTGATTGTTTTATAGCTACTCCTTTTATATGCATTGCTGTTTGTTGCTTTGAAAAGCTCTGGACCTTGCAGGTTTAAATCTAGATGTATGCATTGTTTTTTCCAGGAAATAAAACAATACTGTTGCTAAGACCATTTAAATGTTTAGGGGATCAGATTCACCATTCTATGTCCTATGGAGCATTTTATTTGGAAATGGAAAGCCTCTATTGTGTTTTTTTTTAAAGTCTCCTCTCCCCATTGTGATGATCCCAGCCACTGCCCAATCTTGAACATAAATGAGGGCAGGGTTACTGATAAGGAAGTGTCCCTTTTGGGGAATCTTATTTGGGCATTACATTTCTACAGAGGCTTCCCATTAGGCTTACCACACCTCTCTGGAGTGCAGTCATTTTTAACCTTCCATCTTAAAATGGTGGATGAAATCTTCCCCCTATAGTCCTTTGCAAAATGGAACCAGGGGGAGAAAGATTGGATTGAAGAAGCTACAGCCACAGCACTGAGAAAAATAATGCAACTAATGAAGAGAAAGAGTCACTGTAGGGCTGGCATCTAGCGAGTGGCAAAGCTTTTCTGAAGCCTGGAGATTGGCAAAGAGCCCATGATTGCAACAGTGCAACCACCATTAGAACAGAGGCTTCTAGAAGTCCAGCAGTAATGTGGGATAATTGCCATGTTGCCTGCCTTGTTTCAATAATCCAAAATGGTCCATGTGGCATAGCATTTGGTTTTTTTTAAATTCAAAGTCACAATTAAACAGGTAAAAATTAATACAAACTAAAAATAAAAAAGAGAGTGAAGAAGTGAAAATAGAAAGAATAAGAATAAAGAAAAAGAAAAGAAATATATAAAGAAATCACATCCACTTTATCACAATCATTTTTTGTAATTTAGCACTTTTTCTTAAAATACTGCAAGTGATATCTTCTCACCATATCTATGCTTTTACCTATATACAAATCCTTAAAGCTTATTGTTCAGTCCTGATCAGCAAAGTCCATTAAGGTTTACCAAAGATAACAGCGTGTCTGTTTTAACCTTGGTCAAGTAAACCAACATTATATTCCTTTCTTTTACTTTTAACAATATTGTTCTTTAGTCCCTTGAAATAATGGCAGAATTTGATTAAAAATTTTTTTTGACCTTTTCCACAAAATTCTTCAAAACTTTAACAAGCCTATTGAAACCTAATACAGCAAAATTATTCAGATTACTTTATTCAGATTACTTTTTAATTTTTTTTGTTATGGTTACTTGTATATGCCTTGTAATTGTCCAGGGTAACATTTCCTATAGGATTCTTGTAATCTTATCATTTTAAAATCCACTTTCAGATAAATTCCATCTGGTCAGGTAAAACTTGTTTCTCTTTCATAACGTCTTTGGAACGTAGTATGCATGCATGCATGTATGTATGTATGTGTAATGTATGTATATATATATATATATATATATATATATATATATATGTATGTA